AAGGGAAGAAGAGCAAAAAGAAAAAGCCAAAGGAAAAGGTATCAGTAGGTTTAATACAGCAGAGAGAGAAGGGATAGTTGTTGAGCAACAGTACAGGTGTCCCTTTGGCGTGGCAGTGAGTTGGGGCAGCAGCCCCACCGTGCTTATGGGCCAGAGGTTGTCTTCAGACAAAACCGATTTCTGGTGGGGAAATTCTGCCATTGAGGGTGACATGAACCAGATTTGTGCAGAAATCTGGTTATTGTGCTGACCCACACCAAAGTTGTGGCCAGCCACTGCAGCTGGATTGGTGTTCTAATCAGGTTTTTGCTGTAATTATCACAATGGATTTGTGCAGTTCCCATCGGGAATAGTGTACCGGGGGCTTATAAATAGGGAAAACATTGTGTGTATGTTATGCAGATTTCGGCACTCTCAGACCCCATCTCCCCAAATGATCAGCAGACTCTCTCTCGGCCTCAGCAAAACGTGCCTAAGCGCAGAAGTAAACATCACTGCTCCTCTCCACCCCCTCCCCACGAGGTCCGAGCCTACCAGCTCTACACGCTCTACCGAGGAAAGGATGGGAAGGTGATGCAGGTGAGCCGGCCACTGCCCTTGTTTGGGCTTCAGTTGCATTTTGCCCTGAAGTCTGGTAAACAATAAGCTGGTTTTGTGCGTGCTAAAGAAGCCATACTTAACTAGTTTTGATCTATGAACTGTTTCCTTTTTTGAAATAAGGTGTGAACGGTGATTGGAAATGACACCGGAACTTTTATGATACACTTTGAAATATTAGGATTTCCAGCAGGAAATGCAGAGAGCTTTGCCAATGAAAATAAACGAAAGCAGCGCGTGAGCACTGAAGCTTACTACCTAAACTGAGAGCTTGAGTGTGCTCAATGCATTTTGTTTCAATCCTGTTTATTGCAACGTGTCTCCGGGGATTCTAGGATTACTTGAGGCAGGAGAGGTACGGAAATTGGTTCACTAATAAACCAGAAGATACCAGCTCATGTGCATTTATTCCAGTTTAGAGACTGATACTTTACTCCACTCAACTTATTTTATTCCACAAGTATTTAGTAGTACACATTTATAGAGGAGCATTAAAACAGTCGGCAAATCACCCTGTAGACATTGTAAACTTCTACAGTGTTGCTTTCTTAATACTGCCCTCCTGTACCTCTGGGAGGTTCAATCCTTTCATTTCCTTAGCTTCTCACATCCATCCACCACCCCTCCTCAGTCCCCTGCTGTAGTTAAGAAATGCAGCGGATTCTGAAGATCACTCAGGTCAGGCTTGGTCAGGCTTTGGAGGTTTTACTGGGCGTATTTTCCAACCGCTCACTGTGAAAGCTTGGGAAATTTCCAGACAGGGGCACTATGGGATTATCCTAATAGCAGACATCAGGAAGGATGGAGAACCTTTCATATGTTAAAAGGAGTATCTCCCTGCCCCTACGATCTCATGGTAGAAGGATGGACCAGTAGGACGGATTTGGGGAATAGCAAGAGAGGTGCAAATAGCAGATAGGATTTGTATACAAACCTAATCTATTCACTAAGATTAGTTTAATGCAGCTAGACTCCCTTATAGCATTTCCTTAAATACATCACACTCCTCTCTCCCCTTCGTTTTTGCTCATCTGTCTTCTTTGATGCCCTCAGGCAAACAGAACTTCTTAAGTACGTGTATTTCTGAAGCCTCCTCTAGCTCTCAGAAAACCACCCACCTTCCCCTGCCAAGGGAATAACCCCCAATTTGTGAAACAGTACTGCAGGGCCAAAGGAGGGAGGGAGGCTCCTCTGCTGACAGATTCAGAGCTGCCGCTTTGGGCTCCTGACTCACCCCCAAAGGAGGCAATTTCTGCCTGAGGACTGCAGAGGAAGCCGGTGAGGATTAGCTGTCCTCGCTTAAGGCAGCCTTTTGTGACCATCTCCCTGAGAGATTTAGATGTGGTGAGCACAGCTCCCCTTGCAGAGGAGCCTTGGGGCAGCATCATGCAAGTCAAAGGAAAGCTGCGGTGTGCACAGCGGGTAAGGGTCAGCCAAATGGCAGCAGGGTGAAGGCAGACAGGAGCAGTGAGACCTTGCCATACAGTACACGGAAAAAAACCAAGCACATATTGGCATTACGTTAAAAAACAAATGCATGCAAAAACACACACGTCCACAAAATCAGATTTTTCATACAATTTGGGATTCCAGCATTGAGACATGGGGTAGGAGTCTGTAGTGTGGTAAGCACTCCTAGGGCACACAGTACCATGGCATACACGACCTGAGTTGTAGCCTTTGCAAAATCAACACTGCTGTGTGTTAGGATATGTCCATATAAATCAGATGAATCCTTTTTTAGTCTGTGCTTTTCCAACTAATAGCCTGTTTGCTGAGCTACTGTAAGATGTTATCAGGAGGGTGAGATACAGTACATGGTATGGAAGAGCCCAAGACTGACTCAAGGAGGCTGCGATAATGTTCCAAGTGCACAAAGAGGACAGCGGGAGGTAGCAAGTAAATGTATTACTCCTTTCAGGCACCGATAAATGGATGTCGTTGTGAGCCCCTGATAAATAAGCTGGAGAATCAGCTGGAGGCAACGGTAGAAGAGATAAAAGCTGAGTTTGGGACAGTACAAGATAAGATGAATGCTAAGCTGGGCCAGATGGAAAGCAAAACTCAACATCAAGTAAGAATATGACCCGGAGGTCTGCTTGCCCACATGACTATTAGAAACATATCCTAAGCTTAATGAATATTTTCATTGTCATGATTCATTTATTGCTTCTTGTGTTGTAAAAACGAACCTGATATCTAATACTCAAGACCAGGGAACTGTGACATTCCACAGGGATCTAATGTTGCAAACTAAGGTCTTGAGAAAAACACATTTAATGTGTTAAGTGGCTTCAGGTGCTTCTTTCAACAATAAATCTAAACTGCTTGAGGCCCTAAGAGGGAAACTTAAAGGTGAAAGGCAGTCCTACAGCTGGTCGGTTCATAACTGTAAAAATCCCTCTTGCTGAATTCTGTTTGCACTGAGATTCAAGATCCTCTGAATTATTTTTTGTTTTTAATGTAATTGTTATTTGTCGATAATTTTGTGCTTGAACCTTTTTGTGAGCTCCATCTAATTGTATTTGGCAGCATTCCTAGAAATGAAGACAAAGACAGACTGTACTTTGACTTCCAAGGTTCACAGATGGGGGTTTTGTTTGGTTTTTAACATGATCATCTCAGCTAAATTGTGGCTTTTTTTTTACACAGCTCCGTGTTTTAGACAAGCTTATGGCTGAGCGGCTGTCCGCAGAGAGAACAGAGTGCCTTCACCGCCTGCAACAGCACACTGAGCTGGAAAAAAATGAGGGGGAGAAACGGCAGGTAGGGCTTGAAACAGCTACTCCCTCTTAGCTCAGATGGATCAACTCAAGTGTTTCATTCCAGCAGGCAGAGAGAATATTGGTGATTTATCTCATCTGTTGAAATAGGCAAAAAAGCTCTAAAGACCAAATTATTCCTATCCACCATCTTAATCTCTAAACCAGATTTGTAAAGCTTTTGCATTAGAAATGGGGAATGTGCAATCCAGTCCCAGTGTCATAATTTAATTTGGTGGGTCTGAAGTGTGGGATCTAGAACAAACTATCTTTTTTCTAACATTGTGCTTTGCAAAAATTTGTACCGCTAAATTTTTAACAGTTGTGCTTTCAGCTTTCGCTTCATTAAAGGACACCTGCAGGAACATCTGCAAATAGTAACAGAGACTGAGATCTGCGTTGTGCCTTTTACTTCTCATCTATTTGGTTGTGTGCCCTGGGAATCCCTCCCTTCTCCTCTGTGTGATCTTTTTTTCCCTCCGTGTATTAAAAGGCTGCAGTTCTTCCCTCTGACTTTGGCAACGGTGCACCATCTCCAAGTTGTGTATCACTGCCAATGGGCATGTTCTTTTTGTATGCTTGTTTAACCAGCATTACAAGAATAACTGTTCCCATAGAGATCCAGCTCTTGCCCTTCTAGCTTCTGCAAAAACTCACCCTAAAAAGATGCCAAGAAGTTTGTGTTTGTTCACTCACACAGGTAAATTTAAAATACAATTAATTTTCTCATTATTGGTATTCTTCTAAGGGTTGAGAAATACAGTTTGTGCTAGTAAAAGGTTGTGACTTTTTATAAGACTGTTCCAAATCCGTGTTAAAAGACTGGCAGCTGTGACAATCCCAGCATAATCTACCGATCGAGATGCTTCGCTCTAACATCCGCAAAATACTTTGCTCCAAAGAAGGGAGATACTGGAGTGATACATCAGGTGAACTGAAATTACCATTAAGCGATATCAGCTGTTCCTGTTCTGTTGGGTCTAATTGAAACTACTGGAAAAACCTGAGTGGGGCTTTACTAAAAGCATGGACTAAATGTCCATGTGCATTTAGGGCCTGACCTAAATTAATGATGTCATATGAACAACTCACTAAAAGAGCTACTCATTTTAAATGATTACTGGCAAATGCCTCTGTAGCTGACACTTACTACGCACCTTTGCAATTTGAAAGCTGTTAGCAATTTATCATTCAGTGTTGGACTCATCTTTATCACTGAATGAAGAGAGGAGCAGAGGTTGGTAATGCTATAAAGGTGTGTCCCAGAAGCGTCTAATTTGAATTTCACTCTTAAAAAATGGCAGCTTTGACCACATGTGACGTTCCTTGCACTTAGAAAGTACTAGTGACTGTATGATTGAACAAGTCAGCCTTGATCAGAGGACTTAGAGCTGCATTTGAAGTAGCACATTCAAATCTAAGAGGTGGTAGCTTGGACTAAAGAGTGCCTTTCATCAGCTAATGCACAGTTTTTCGTCTTTTCTGATGTACAGCCCTTTAAATATTCCCAGTGGCAGCATGCATATCTGTACAAGGAGTCTAAGCCCACAGATACCAAGCTTACTTCCCTTTCTCCCTGCCACACATCCTCAGCAGCCCAGGAACCATAGGATTATCTAATTTATAGTGTCTTATTCATAGATTTCCTTGGTCGATGAGCTGAAGACTTGGTGCATGTTGAAGATTCAGAATCTGGAGCTCAAGCTTTCTGGTGATTCCAGGTCATCAAGACCCAAATCAACTTTGTCCACTTGTGAGTCTCTGACTGAGACCCTGGATACTGAGAACAACCCCCACAGTGCCAAGGACTGTAAAGCCAACCAGCCCATGCTCCAGTCCGAGGGCTCCCACCAGCATTCCTCCATCACGCTCCCAAATAGCCTCTCGGAAGATGGGGGAAGGAGCAGAGTCCAGATGCCAGAACAGAGCTTTGGGCAGCCTTTTTGCATTCAGCAAGACGGTGCGTCAGGTACAACCTTGTCAGGTACTTAGATATATCATATTCATTCAAAGGCGAGCTAATTAACTGAGGGGTACTTGTATTAATACCACAGATACTAATTCTGCTGTGTGCTTTCCCCCATCCATGCGCATGATGTCTTGGGATTGGACTACACTTCAAGGCAGCCGCTGGGAATATTTTAAGACACAGTTGGGTGGAATTCCAGTGGCTCTTCCCGATGCTTCCATGTCACTGTGTCTTTGAAGTCCTTTGATGCTCTGAATAACTCCATTTTCTGAAATTTCTCCAGCTTCCCAGTGAGAATTGCACCCACCCCACTGTCTGTCAGGAAGGTGTGCAGATTATCCAAAGTCTACTGAATAAAGTGTATTGTATTTAGTGCTTTTCAGATGTATGGAACCTATAATAGCAGGGTGCAAGGATGTGAACCTAAAATACTAATTTCCCTTGTTAATATTCAAACTGCAAGGATCTAGAGTAAGCCTCTCACTTTTTCCTCTTTCCTTGAACCAAAGTCTGTTTAATTATTAGTTCATTTGACAAGAACAAAACCAGCTGAGAACATTCAAGCCAATTCAGGGATCATGGTCCCCCCGAAGATATGGAAGACCTCGGTGCAAGCCCGTGCGTAGCCAGGGAAGCTTTTGAGGAAAAAGGAAAACGGGCAGAATGCTCAGGTCTCCACAGCCAAGGAGAGCGCTAGCAAAGCCCTGGGCTTTTGTAAAATACATCGTATATGTCCCCCAAAACACTATGTCAACAGACATCGTATATGTCCCCCAAAACACTATGTCAACAGACACGGACGTGGATACCTCAGCAGAATAGAAAGGCAGAAAGACCCCACAGGAGATCTTGCGGCAGCATGGGTGTGAGCTACACTGCACCGAACAGTTCAGGAGCATCAAAATGTGTTACCTTTGCAAAATTAGTGGGGCTTCAATTCTTGTAGAAGCAGAGGGTTCACAAATATCAGCAGACATAAACTACTTTGGGGATCTAGCCTGATCTTTGTTACATGTCCTTCTGGTGCAGTCCTTTGATTGTTGTCAGTCTGTAGTCCCACAGCCGCACTGCAGTGCCTCTCTGCCTGAGCCAGCTTTTCTCTTTTAATGACTCTTTATTCTATCACCTGACTGTGAAGATGCGATAAACTAATACGAGCCTCTACAATGTACACACAGCATCGTAGGTGGGAAACCATATCATTCATAGAACAATGAGGATTTCTGAATGCTAAAATAAATGCCCAGAGCTTTTCTAAATATATACGTATATTTTTTATTCTGTAGGTACAGAGCAACAGTTAATCGTTGGCGGACCGGTTTCTTCTTCTGCCCTTGCTCAAGATGTCAGGCCAAAGGACAAAGCTGTTAGTGCCAGCACGTTCCACAGGTTCCAGCAGGAGCTGCCCTCCTCCGAGCTTTTGGGCTCCAAACTGAGACACGTTAAGGTTCAAGCTGCTTTGCAGCCCTTGACTGAACCTGCAAAGACTGAACCACAGAGCGGCTATTTCATCGACAAAGGAACTCAGACAAAGAAGTCCAGCAAAAGCGGGCAGTCGAGGCACAAAGCTCTGCACCACGCCGGGGCACATCAGAGCCAGGAGCAGCAGCCCTCCGTCCTGCCTGCGGGACAGCCGCCTGCCCCACCGCTCAGAGACACCTCCCAGGCCCTGGAGATAACACAGTACTTCTTTGAGGCCGTTTCCACACAGATGGAGAAGTGGTATGAACGGAAGATAGAAGAAGCCCGGTGCCAAGCTAATCAGAAAGCGCAGCAAGACAAAGCTGCGCTCAAGGAGCATATTAAAAGCTTAGAAGAGGAGCTCAGCAAATTAAGGACTAAGTTGCAGAAAGAGAGCTAGCATCCACCAAGCAGGTAAAGACAAGCAATGGGACTCATTTGGGAACGTGCTGTACAGGAATCTGGCATATTGTTAGATATATACATTTGTAGTGCCTGTTACATCCAAACAAAATGCTCTTTTTCAGGAGTAGAACTACTTTTGGAAACTCCAGAACCGAGGAGAATTCATATGCAGACTGTACTAATGACAAGATGCTGCAGATTAGATCCTTTCTTTGTTATTTCCAAGAGTCCGTTAAATATTGCACTCTCAAATTCCAGGTGCTGCTTGAAAACAAACTGCGTTAGAAACCAAAACTGCTTTCTGAAAAGGGAATTTCCTTATTTCCACATAGGTTATGTAGGGCTCAAGGGTTCCGCTGTATACCACGTGTAAACAGGTGGCGGTACCAATACCGAAATAAATCAAGGATGTTTGAGAGCTTTTGACAGAAATTCCTTAGTGATGAAGGGCTATTGATGCTATTTTAGATACTCCCTATGGTCTCTCCTTAGTCAGTGGAGAGAAGCTACAGAACCAACCCAAACTGCAAGCCCGGGCAGGTGACGGTCGCAGGCTTTCAGCTGGGAGAGGCCAGGCTCCCGCTGAGCGAGATGCTCAGGTCAGTCATCCCATCCCATGTGGTACAGAGGCTGCAGTTGCCACTTTGCTTTTCTTTCGGTTTTACATTATTAAAACAAATGCTAAATTAGTCTTTTTTTTTTTTTTTTTAAATGGTGTCCTGGTTGCAGAGCTCCTTGTGTTTACACAGTTGTTGGGGCCACACTCGAGTAATCTCACCGAGAAGTTTTGTTTAGGCAATATTTTACCGTAACCATGCTCTACTTGTTAGGCATAATTTTTACATGCATCTCTTTTCCTTCAAGCAGCAAATGGCTGAATTCTGTACTACTGAAGAAGCTTGGAAAAGTCCTTTAGCTAAAGAAGTGAAAGCTTGGTTCCCTGTTTCCCTGTACTCAAATGTTTCTTTTTTGGCACAGCCAGGACTTTTTCCCAGACACCTTGTCCAGATTGTCTTCCTTTGTTCCTCTGAATGATTCCTCTCTCCCTGTTCTTTCCCTCGTAGCTCTATAAAGAGGGGCCGGGCCCTGGTGAGGCTGTAGGTCTCAGGACTGGTTTCACCAACAGTCCCACAAAATAGAACTCAACAACATTTTGAAGTTTTTATGGATGTGTTTTGTTACAAAATCAAAACTTACAATGACCGATGATGTTGTCCAGGCTGACAGACTCCGAATAAACTAGAGGCACCGTAACTCATCGTATCTGCACCCCTTTAGGGTTTCCTCCTTATCCTGCTGAGGCGGCTCCATCAGATTCTGTTAGAAAAGTAACTTTACTGAACAGATCATGATAGAACAATTGTTCAAAACCCATTCAAATACAGGATAGTACTGTTATTTTTTCTGTACTGAGGAGCCCTAAAATCAATTCAAAATACTTTACAGTATTGAAGACACCATTAACTAATTAGTAATTAGGCTTTCATCTTCTTAGCAGATGTATAAAGCAAAGAAAATTGTATTATATAACAATATTTTTAAAGTTCCTATTAATGCACTATCAAGACAAGAAAAGTATATCTGCAGTTACGGAAATATTAGTTTTATTGCTCTGACTTCTGTAGTCTAACATAGACACTTTCATATGTTTACAGTTTTGTTTAAGCTACTGTAGGAATGCAGAAGCATGCTATTTAATTTTTGTATCACCTTGATAAAAGTTGAATGTTTTGCCAAGCAATTAAAATAAGTGTTGCTCCAGAAGCCTGCGGTGTAATGTTTTCCAGCCAGAGGAAACAAGACGCAATCCCCTCACCCGACTCAGAAGGAGGAGCAGAAAATTGCACTTCCAACTTCTAAGCTTTGGTGTTTGTGGCTATAAAACACGGAACCCGGGTCTAGTAGTGTCTGCCAGGGACAGACAGTGGCTTCAGGGACCGACTGCCGTTTGTTAGCTGATGCGCGCACCCACCATTTGGGGAGTTACTGGCACAGGGCTGAGTTGTGCAGCTGATCCCACGCACCCTCCTGAGCTCACGCAAGTGCAAGGGACAGGGCAGGGCTACGGCTTTAGCTACTCTGCTTCACCTACGAACTGCACTACCAAGGCAGCCACCGGAGCAGTAATTAAAGAGAGGAACTCGGCTGCAGAGTACTGATTTTAGAGGTTTTCTGAAGCCAAGTGTACTGTAAAATAACGGGAGGCATTTTCTGCTAATTCCTTTCTACTCCCCTCTGTAGTCCTCCCCTCTTCAAAACTACGAATTGAAGGACTTCTTTACAAAATACCCGTATTATCTACCTTTCTCTGCAGCACCCACTTGGAGTAAATTTACTTACCCTGGCAGACTGTACTCGGGCTCCTAAAGGCTTCTGGCAGACGATTTTATCTTGGTGAGCCCACAGAGCAGTGGAGCTCACGGGCAGCAGCACCCAGGAGGTCAGCGGCTGTCCAGGGCACTGCCTGTCAAGACCTGCTCCTGGATTATGTGGCCACAACCTGGAAATGTACAAACTGGAGTCAAAGGAGTAATGCAGGTTCAGGGTGCCACACGGAAAGCACTGCAATGAGGCGGCAGGGTAGAAAGTCTCCTGATTAAGGAGCAGAAATCAAACCACTGGCTGAAAGGAAAAGAAAGGCTAAGAAAGGCTCCGTGTAAGAAGCAGCCAACATTGACTGCGGCTTTGTTTAGACAAAACTCCTTTTAAAACAGCATTTTCTGGTAATGTGAAAAATCAATCCCAACACACTCATGTTCTGTTAGTGTGTTCTATGAGAAGATGTTAAAATTTAGATTTTTAACTAAATATTTAGCCATACATATTTTTCACTGACTGATCAGAAGCTGAAAGGCTTCTGTCTATACAAACCTGAACTGTTTAGCAGCTTCCCTGGCTGCCTGAGCCACATCCTTTCCTGTAAAGCTAAACAAACATCATGGGAAAGGATTCTACAGTGACTTTCAGAAAGAAAAATAGGAGGGAAAAAAAAAAAAGGCGGCATTCTTTCTAGTCAAGCAGCAGCTTTTTGCAGAGCATCTTTGCTGAAGCATGTAGCTTTGAAGACCCTTTGGCTCCAGCAAGAAGTGTATGTCCTGCTGCTGAGTGGGATCTTTCATCCCTCCTGTAGCCTGGAAGGGGACTATGACCCCGTCCTGTCCCTTGGGCCAGCAGTGGCACTGACTGGACTCGCTGTGGCACCATCCAGCTCGCTCACTCAGCAGAAAACCTATCGGGCAAGGGGGACGTGGCTCTGTATGTGAACTGTCGTAGCAGAGTGGGAGAGGGAAGAGTTCCTGCATCTCCTGAAACCACAACCTCCACCGCACACAGCTACTGCACAGTCAGGTATCTATCTGCTTTCTGGCTATTTATATTGAGAAAATCCCAGACCCACTTGGGCATTTTAATTTGCAAATTATATGGAAAAAAAAGATATACCGCAATTCAATGGAATGCTAAGAACATTTGCACACTAAGAATTAAAAGTGGAGTAATGTGACATTTGGAGAAACAGACCACAACATTCGCAGTTAGCATCTCCTATTTGTAATTCTGCTCCATGTTGACTTTTAAATACTAACTTGAAGGTACTGCCTGTTAACTTGGTAATAACCATTTCTGGGGCTAAAATCTCCCATTTTCATATAGAAGGACCTCCCCTTTCAAGTTTTATGCAGCAACAACTGAAAATCAATATCTAAATACAAAACATTTTTGTGATGTTCTATCATGTTTATTTGTTTTGGGCCCACTTACTTATCCCAAATGCTTTTTTAACCCTGAACTTTGGTAAAAATCTGCAGCACAGTAGAGAAAGAGCTGTTACCACTATGAATGTTACTACTTAAAGAGGTATCACAATAGAAAACAGACAAAATAATCTGGCTTGTATTTATTTTCAATTTTCCTGGTAAAACACTACTGGTATCATTTTTGGTGCTTTCTGCTTTTCCCACCGCACATGCTACATCATCCATTCAGTTCACTAAAGTCTTTTCTGTCTGAATGATTTCCACAAGGGAGGGTAACCAAACCCAGAAGAGAAAAGGGAAAAAACCAAACAAAAAAACGCACTGTGGTAGATTCCACCTTCAAATATTACCAGGTTGTCAGCAAAAGCCGCGATTATAACCACATTCTGGAAAAAAACAGTGTGCTTGTTCACAGCAGATTAAAGTCCAGTTGTCGACAAAATTAAGATCAGGATTTTGCCAGCTTAAGGGTTCTTTGAAGTTCCCGAAGTTGCATGTTGCCTTGAGTAATCATCATCCTGATTGCATCCTGTAAAACAAAATGGAATGTACTGAACGGAACTGCTGTACGCAGCACAGGTTTTACACAAGCACACAGATTTTAAGACATCCAAATATATACAATTCTTACCGATACTGTTGTGATCTATTTCTTTCTGTGAAGTAGTGCTATAGTCACTGAGATGGTTAAATGAACAGGTGAACAAATGAAAAAAAATTCTCCAATTCCTTAACGATGTATTTGGGGACTAGTTGTATCTTTGCTTTAAAACTCAGTTTTGAACTGGATCCAAACTCCTAATAATGTTTTCTTTACGCCTCTGTGTCTGCCGCCTTTGCAAGTAAATAGTGACAACTGCACAGGGGCATTATTCCAGAACAAGTGGATGTTTTGCTCAACATTATTTTTACCTAAATACTGGTAACGCTTTGTCTCTGTAATTCAGCCACCAACGCCTTGAGCACTGGCGAGAAAAAGGAACAAACTAGAAGCAAAGGAGAGGAGCCATATAAGAAGTGTAAAGGCTTCTGCGTTGCATACATGCTTCATAGCCAGAACCATCCAATTTTATTTTGGATGAGTATCGTTGAATATAGTTGAAGATGGAAAAAAGAAGCTATAATAAAGCCCGAGTGTTAGTAAGTTTATGTTAGCTATCTAATACTATTCAATACAAATTTTTTTGATCTGTGGCTTAAGTAAGCAAGATCTGTTTGGGTTTTAGCTCTCAGAATCCAGATTATTATCTGGAAATCAAGAGGAACATTACTCCTGCCAACAGCGGGGATAATTAGAGATGCTGAATTAGTTCTTTGCACAAATGCTCCTTGAAAGATGTTGAAAGCAGTCGCCTTCCCACCACTCCGGACGCGACACCCACAGACCAAAACCCGGTGACAATGTGCAGCGCGGGACAGGGGGTGTTGCGGGTATCCCCATCCTCACCTCTTCCGTAGCATCTTTATTTCTCCTGAATTCCTCCCTGGCCCAGTCCTTTAAGTAGCGGCGATCTTCCTCGGCGGGGACGTGGCGCAGGGCCCGCAGGATGCCCCTGTAGAGCTGCAGGACCTGCTGCCGCCGCAGGAACTGGGGAGGAGAGGGGAGAGCCTCATCGCCGCCCCGGGACAGCGACGTTTAACCGAACGCCACGTTCCCCCCGACCGCCTTTAACGAAAGGCGCGGCATTGCCTTGGATCCCTGCCCAAGACGCTTAAAATTTCACACAGAGGAACGCACCAAACGTGGACTACGGAGCCCGTGGCCAGCTGCACGCACAAAACGCAGCGTTACAAGGGCGAGCG